ATCCACTCAGAAGATGCAACTTAAAGTGCCTTTGGGCCAAATGCCCCAGTACCAGCTGACTGAATATGGTGTCCCAATTTAGCTTGTTTTTTTTGAGGAAAATAGGACAATTATCTGAACAAATGTGTGGTAAAAGTGGTCACGTACAGGATTTAAGGCTCTGAGTCAGCCTTGTACAGATACCTGCATGTAACATTGCATTCAGTATTAAGTTCTGAGGGTTTGGTGATCAGGACATATAAAGACATTTTCTTCCTTGTCACTTCTTTTGGGCAGATCATCAAGTATCACTAAGAAGGAACACATGGAGGATCTTGGGTTTAGACATGGAGTTTCCCAGGGTGGGTCTCTAGGTATGTACTTGCTCTTGAGGTGCACTGAGCAAACACCAGACTCCTCCATGAAACTATTGTGTCACTCCTGGCCTAACAATGTCCAGAAAATCCAAGAATAAGCTATTTGGTACTAGCTATTACTTTAGCTCTTCTGCAGAGCACGGGATCCTTTTTTCTGGTTTAAACTTCTGTTATCTTTTTGAAGGACACTTCTGTTATGTATGGACTAAGGAGGTAGCCTCACCCAGTTCCTGTTCTGTGCTTGGTGCCTAGTTATGTATTTATGGGATAAAATGTTTCAGTGTAACAGGAAGATTACTTTAAAATCCATCCTTATAAACACTGGGTTGGCTGACTTTTTTTTTCATAATCTTAGATTTTTCCATTCAAATGTTCTCATTAGTTTGCTGTAGTCAGTTGTCTCTTGGATGGAGCTGTGATTTTGAAGGCATCATTTCACATTGAGAGCAGCTTTAATGTCCTATGATAACGTGTACAAGAATGTGAGATCAGTCAGTGTTTAATTTGTGAATTAAAAAACTTGCTGTTGTGCCTTTGTGTTAAACTACTGAACTGTAAGGATAGTGGACTAGTGATGCAGACTTCCATGATCATTAATCTGATACTGCACTAGCTGTGTGTAGAGCTAACTGTTCACAGTAAAAAAGCTTGAGTTGTGTTACCTTGGATATGCTGCCTTGTGTGTTTATTTTAGAGATAAGAGCAAAAGCATTAAACCCTTCTATGATGCAGAAGTGACTGTACGATGATTGTGAGCTCTGCAGCACATTTGATTTAGTGCACAGTATGGGTCACCCTGCCTTGGATTTCCTGAGAGTTTTTTTCCCCTGCTGAAAGGAGAATGGCAGCATTTTAATCTTGATGGCTGCAGCCAGTAAAAATGAGCCTATGGGTAATACGAAAACTGATGTCCACAGACCTACTACTCTGAAAAGCTGGGCAGCATTGCAGCAAACACAAAGGAGCTCGTTCTGCAAATGTCATTGCTTGGATACTTCGGAGGTCATTTCCCAAGCGTTCACTCCTCAGTTACTCTCTGAGGAAGATCAGAACTGTTAAACCTGAAGTGCTGTCCCACTTGCTGTTAGTATAGGCTGTAAAGAGCCATTGTGTTCAACCTTTGTATCTCAGGTACTTTCTGTCTTGAAAGGTTGACATGACTTCACTGAGCAACTCTAAGCAGTTAATTATGTAAGTGGCTTCCAGATACTTGTTTTGAAACATTTTTAAGCCATAAAATATGAATCTGCAGCAAAGCTGCCAGTATGTTTCCTTCAGGCACAGCAAGAGAAAGTACTTTTCGCTACAAAACTCCCTTGCAAAGGTTTTTTGTTGGTTTCAATTGCTTTCTTTTCCTAAAAGCACCTGTGTCTGACTTTCTAGTTAGTGGTCCAGTGTTAGTTTCAACATCTGATTATTTTTCTCCTTTCATGCATTGATTCTTGCTCTGAACGTGTGCCCTGTTGGGAAGAGGCTAACTAAAATAATTTAGAGTACCAAAAAAATCTGATACTCAAAATGAGTCAGAACTCTGGATAATGAGACTAATGGCGCATATTTTGGAACTTGTCAGCTTTTGCTGGAGGTTGTCAGTGCTCTTGGTACATTCTAAGAGCAAGATGTGTGTTATTGCTTGTGGAATGTCCAGTACATTGAGGCTGTGACTTGCTCAGTGACCATGAACCTGTAAAACTAACCCAGCCTACAAATGCAGTAAAGGGTTTGTGGCTACTAATGATGGTTACTGTACAGCTTGTGGTATGCAAATGTAAGTAGAGGGTGTTGAAGGGTGTTGGTGGGTGACTCTTCTGCTGTAACTAGGCTACACAAGATCTGGCTTCTGGTGAGTGCTTGCTTCTTCCACTCTCCCAAAAAGCATGGGACTTTAATGATGTGCTCTGTAGAGGTACATGTGCTGTTGAAGCTGTAATTTTTAAATCTACATTGTAAATCAGGTGATAATTAAGCCTGGTAAAAAATGGCTGGGTTGGTTTTCTTTATTACTGAACAAGCAAGTCAGTCACTAATTTAATTTGCCGGGATTATTTTTCCCTGCTGCTACTGCCCTGACTACAGCTGCCAAGATACTGCTCAGGATGGAAAAGGAAGGAAAACTCTGGCTGTGTTCTCTTTTCTCAGAGTAAAAAAATACTGATAGAGTATATGTATGCAGTTTTCAGGTTATCAACAGACTATTAACACTTTAAAGCACAATTGACAATATACAAAATTTGTCCAGTCATGAGTTTTCTACAAGCAAGGGTAATAGGCATTTGTGCAGGATTTCACTAGTAGACAAAGCTACTAAGGTTGGTATTTTTGCTGTGTATGCAACTCCACACTTATTGAAAGAACCAAGTGGCTGCTTGCTCAAAGTGTATACTGCCTAAAATATTGATACTGAACTCCAGAAGTAAATGTCTAAATAGTTACTTCTTCCAAAATAAAGCACTTAAGTTGAAAATAAAGGAGCTTTCTGGGTAGTTTGTTACCTGCTGGTGCCATCTATGATGCCAAGAAGGGTGGGAGGAGGAATGTCTGCTGTTACTGGAAAAGAGGAAACATAACCCTTACTTTCTAAAAGAGAAGGAAAGAAGACCCAGGGAATTAAAGACCAACCAGTCTCACCTCTGTGCCAGGCAAGATCATGGGGCAGGTCCTCCTGAAGGGTCTTCTAAGGCACATGGAAAATGCAGAGGTGGTTGGTGGCAACCACTATGTCTGACAAATTTGTTGGCTTTTTGTGTTGGGGTTGCAGTGTCAGTGGACAAGGGAAGAGCAACTGATGTCATCTTTGTGGACTTCTGCAAAGCGTTTGACACTTTTCCATGTGACATCTTCATCTCTAAATTGAAATGATATAGTTTTGAAGGATGGATGATTCAGTGGATAAGGAATTGGCTGGATGGTTGCACTCAAAGAGAAGTGGTCAGTGGCTTGAAGTCTAAATGGAGAACAGTGACAAGTGGAATTCCTCAAGACTCAGTACTGGAACCAGTGCTTTGTAACATATCTGTTGGAGACATGGATGGTGGGATTGAGTGCACCCTCAACAAGTTTGCTGATCACACCAAGTTGTGTGGTGTGGACACCATGCTGGAGGGAGGGGCTGCCAACCAGAGGGACCTTGGACAGGCTTGAGAGGTGGGCCCATGCCAACCTCATGAAGTCCAATGAGGTCTAATGCAAGGTCCTGGGTGAGGGCAATTCCAAGCACAATTGCAGGCTGGGCAGAGAATGGATTGAGAACAGCCTTGAGGTGAAAGACCTGGGGCTGTTAGTTGATGAGCTCACCATAAGCTGGCAAGATGCACCTGCAGCCCAGAAAGCCACCATGTCCGTTTGTGGCTACTAATGATGGTTACTGTACAGCTTGTGGTATGCAAATGTAAGTAGAGGGTGTTGAAGGGTGTTGGTGGGTGACTCTTCTGCTGTAACTAGGCTACACAAGATCTGGCTTCTGGTGAGTGCTTGCTTCTTCCACTCTCCCAAAAAGCATGGGACTTTAATGATGTGCTCTGTAGAGGTACATGTGCTGTTGAAGCTGTAATTTTTAAATCTACATTGTAAATCAGGTGATAATTAAGCCTGGTAAAAAATGGCTGGCTTGGTTATCTTTATTACTGAACAAGCAAGTCAGTCACTAATTTAATTTGCCGGGATTATTTTTCCCTGCTGCTACTGCCCTGACTACAGCTGCCAAGATACTGCTCAGGATGGAAAAGGAAGGAAAACTCTGGCTGTGTTCTCTTTTCTCAGAGTAAAAAAATACTGATAGAGTATATGTATGCAGTTTTCAGGTTATCAACAGACTATTAACACTTTAAAGCACAATTGACAATATACAAAATTTGTCCAGTCATGAGTTTTCTACAAGCAAGGGTAATAGGCATTTGTGCAGGATTTCACTAGTAGACAAAGCTACTAAGGTTGGTATTTTTGCTGTGTATGCAACTCCACACTTATTGAAAGAACCAAGTGGCTGCTTGCTCAAAGTGTATACTGCCTAAAATATTGATACTGAACTCCAGAAGTAAATGTCTAAATAGTTACTTCTTCCAAAATAAAGCACTTAAGTTGAAAATAAAGGAGCTTTCTGGGTAGTTTGTTACCTGCTGGTGCCATCTATGATGCCAAGAAGGGTGGGAGGAGGAATGTCTGCTGTTACTGGAAAAGAGGAAACATAACCCTTACTTTCTAAAAGAGAAGGAAAGAAGACCCAGGGAATTAAAGACCAACCAGTCTCACCTCTGTGCCAGGCAAGATCATGGGGCAGGTCCTCCTGAAGGGTCTTCTAAGGCACATGGAAAATGCAGAGGTGGTTGGTGGCAACCACTATGTCTGACAAATTTGTTGGCTTTTTGTGTTGGGGTTGCAGTGTCAGTGGACAAGGGAAGAGCAACTGATGTCATCTTTGTGGACTTCTGCAAAGCGTTTGACACTTTTCCATGTGACATCTTCATCTCTAAATTGAAATGATATAGTTTTGAAGGATGGATGATTCAGTGGATAAGGAATTGGCTGGATGGTTGCACTCAAAGAGAAGTGGTCAGTGGCTTGAAGTCTAAATGGAGAACAGTGACAAGTGGAATTCCTCAAGACTCAGTACTGGAACCAGTGCTTTGTAACATATCTGTTGGAGACATGGATGGTGGGATTGAGTGCACCCTCAACAAGTTTGCTGATCACACCAAGTTGTGTGGTGTGGACACCATGCTGGAGGGAGGGGCTGCCAACCAGAGGGACCTTGGACAGGCTTGAGAGGTGGGCCCATGCCAACCTCATGAAGTCCAATGAGGTCTAATGCAAGGTCCTGGGTGAGGGCAATTCCAAGCACAATTGCAGGCTGGGCAGAGAATGGATTGAGAACAGCCTTGAGGTGAAAGACCTGGGGCTGTTAGTTGATGAGCTCACCATAAGCTGGCAAGATGCACCTGCAGCCCAGAAAGCCACCATGTCCTGGACTGCATCAAAAGAAGCATGGTCAGCAGGTCAGTGGAGGTGCTTCTGCCTCTCTACTCTCTCATGAGATCCCATCTGGAGTACTGTGTCCAGTTCCAGAACCCCCAGCACAAGAAGGACATGGAGCTACTGGAGCATCTCCAGAGGAGGGCCATGAAGATAACTGGAGGGCTGCAGCACCTGTGCTATGAGGACAGGCTGAGAGAGTTGTGGTTGTTCAGCCTGGAGAAGAGAAGGCTCTAGGGAGACCTTAGAGCATCTTCTAGTGCCTGAAGGGGCTACAGAAAAGCTCAGGAGCAACGTTTTACCATGGTGGGCAGTGATAGGACAAGGGGCAATGTTTTTAAGCTGGAAGAGGGGAGATTTAGTTTAGACATTTGGAAGAAATTATTTAGTATGAGGTTGGTGAGACAGTGGCAGAAGTTGCCCAGGGAGGTTGTGGATGCCCCCTCTCTGGAAGTGTCCAGGACCAGGTTGGACTGGGCTTTGAGCAACATGTTTTGGCAGGAGGTATTCCTGTCCGTGGCATGGGTATTGGAAGTACATGATCTTTAAGGTCCTTTCCAACACAAACCATTCTGTGATTCTATGATGATTCTATGAATTGTGCTGGTTTGTTCTTTACATCTTGCTTAGGGCTTGTGGTGTTTGAATGGAAAGGTATTTCTTAAGCTATAATACTTGATGATTTTATCAGACACATAGTTGAATGTAAGCAGGAAATGACAGTTTATGCACTTTCTCTAGTTTGGGAGGAGGAAGGGGGTGTTAATGCCAGTGACAACACTGACCAGACTGTTGTCAACCATCTGGTTTTCAATAATCTGTTTGACATAGTTATTCTGATGGCCATTTGTGTACTAATGTGACAACATGCTCACTGTGGTGCTTGACTGGGACCCTGAACTCTCCCAACTGGGAGGCTGTTCTTGGGGTATCTGCTAGTCCTCACTTTTTTAAAGGCTATTAACCTAAACAGGCTTTTAGACTGTTTTGTCATTGAGCTTCCAGTGCTTTGCCGTTTCCCATAGCAGCTGGTGCTCTGCAGCTGTTTGTCCACAGGCTGAACTGTGCATCTGAGCACCGTAGCAGCAAATACTTTGAACATTTATAGCAATGGAGACAAGGCATGTTGGTACTGAGCAAGTTTAATACTGAGAAAATATTGTGGTGTTCTTCAAAGATAGCTGGGGAGAGAGGGCATCTTCATTAATGGGGAAAATACATAAGTTCCGGTTCCTAGGGATATATTGAAAGTTTGCTAGAAGTTTATCAGATAATGGTCTGAAGTCTTTTGATAATAGTTTCTCCTGGACAACTGTAACAGTCTTTAGGAAGTTTACAAGGATGCTGCTTTCTCTTTGTGATACCATTCTGAAAAAAAACCCTCTACTCCATGGAAATGTCCATATCTTTTATCTCTTTTTAAAACTAGTTTCCATCTGTCTTAGCTATCCAGTACACCTTGAGCTTCCTCAGTGTTTTAATGAGTTCACTAACTTTTTCTGTCACTTTAAAATGCCTCAGTGCTGTTGACAGGCTCTCTGTGCTACAGCACAATGAAGGTGACTGGCTGGAAAATCAGCTTGCAAGGATCTCCAAATCTGGTTTTGGCACTAAGTTGTGGTTACTTCCTGACAGTTAATATTTGAACCAAACTGTCATATGTTAACTTGTTGTTCTTACCAGTACTGATTTATGCACTACATCATAACTGCTTTTGTCAGCTCAGTCCCCTGTTTTGTCCTTGCTACTGCCTGGTATGTTTTAATAAAAAATTCAGTGCAGCTGAACTTTTACTGTATATTTTGGTGGGGAGGAATGGAACAACAAAATAAAGACCTTGAGTATGGTTTGGTCATCCCTTTTAAGTGATTATAGGCATTTGTATGAAAACTACTTTGGCATCACATTTGCATGTGGTGCTAATGTATAGAGTGGCAGCCTGTCCCCAGATACCAGGGGCTCACCTGGGGTCTCTGCAAAGCATTTTGGTTGAGAATATGCAGTGCAGGTTAGCACTCCTGATTGTTCGGGTTATCAGGAAGACAATTCACTAAATTTCTCAGTTAATCTTGTAAATCTTCGTTTGCCCCACAGCCTTTTTTATTTTGCACTGTAACAGTTTGGTAAGTACCACTTCAACTGTGAAGCACATTTAAAAAATAATAGAATAAGTACAGCTTTCTGAAAGCATTCTCTGAAAGGAATCCAGGAGCCTAAATGCTGAATTCTGGAGTGTGAGTAGTCAGTGTGGTGTCTTCACTGCATCTTCCCTGTACAGACAGATAAATGCTTGAAGGCTCGGAAATGGCACACATAATACCTGAAATAAATATGTATTTTAGACTAGTCTAGATTTAGACTGTTCTAGAAACTAATGACACAGCAGTTCAATTGGAAACCTTCCAGCTAGCACTTTTTTGCTTACATTTTGGGGAAGAGCTAAATGAAGGTTTAATTAAGTTATGGACGTTTTCTTGAGTTAGGTGACCATAGTGTCTCTGGGCCCTGTTCCAAAGACAGGAGTTTATTGACTGTCCAGCTTGTGCTACCATGGTGTCACAGACTCCCTTACTTCATTAGGCAGCTCCGTGCAAGCGAGTTAGGTTTTATAGTGATGTCTCTGCAAGTCTCCTGTAGTGTCTGATGATCTAGCTGAAATATTTCTGAGATGGGAGTGCCCTGACTCCCCAGACATACCATGCTTCTGCATTTGCAGTTCATGCTCCAGATTCTAGAGGGGAGCTGGTACTCTGCTTTATAAACACTACTTAGCAGTTGTAGAAATGCTGGTTATTAGATCTGGATTGCAGCCATTCTTGCCATAGGATACAGCATGAACCAAGCAGCTGTAGCTGCTTTCTGGGGTTACCAGAGAGGAAGGCAGGAAGGGATTGGATGTTGTTCCCCTTCACTCTTGGATTCATTGACTGTTTTGTCAATGTTGTCTAATCAACTTACATCACAGGTTTGTTTGAAGTGTGCAATATTTGGAAAGGATTAGCAAAATCACTATGATGTAATTCATTTTGTAGCACATGAAACTGAAGACTGGTGATGCAGCCAAAGGCAGGCACCTTTATCATTTGCTCTGCTTTCTGTGGTAGATGCAGGTCATCTACTTGTGTCACTCTCAAGTGTTCTGTTAGGAAGGATTCCTCTCAAGGCTGTATATTAGTTTAATGTTGTCTTAAAATGAGGCACAAAGTATAACTTGTCAAGCATTCTGATGCTTTTTTAATACTAAGATGAGTTGTGTGCTGTCTTACTTTTTATTATTAAAGCTGAAGGTTAGCAAGCTTTGACCTGAGCACTTCAAATGCGGGAATATCCAAAGGGCCTTGAAGAAGAGTAATAATTTCTAGAGCTTCTCTTTTCACATAGTGAATACTGAACAGTAACCTTCAGAACAAAACTTACAAACTTTTTGTAACAGGAATTTGTGGGAAATATCTGCTGTTTGTGGTGGTAATTGAGGGGGAAGTGGGGCATTCCAAACTTCAAAGCATAGCCTGCTTATTTGGTACTGTATTGAGTGTCATGAATTGCAAACTGAGAGACAGATCCTTGCCCTACTGCTAAAATCTGGTCTGGTTTGTGTGCATGTATTTAATGTTGGTAATATTGAACTAAAGGACTAATGGGCTAAAGTTAATACATTTTAAAGTCTTTCAGCAGCTGTGTGGCTGTGAGTGGAGGAGACTGAACATCAAGAAATCTGTAGCTGAAGCTAACTTGTTTGTGAGAGGGAAATCATGGAGAAACTTTTTTTCACTTCCTCTGACTCTACATCTGACTTGAAACAAAAACGTATGTAGTTGATGTTGTAGATACTCTATGTGGATTCTACCACTTCCTAGGATGGTAAGGGCTTTGATTTCCCCTCCTGAACTCACGTGGCAGTGGTTAAACGTGCTGTCTTGCTCTCCAGCAGGTTTCAGAAGGCATCAGCTTCTGCTGACCTAATTGAAGCCAAAGTTGATAATTAGGCTTTCTAAAAAGATCTGAGGGCAATCCTATTGCAGCAAGTATTCTTGATTGTACTAATAGGTGGTGCAAAGTGGGAGTTAAAAGGGATCCTCTTATCTTTTTGTGATTGTGTAGCAATTTTTATGCAGGGGAGAGAACTCTCTTACTGCAAACTTACTGCAAAGTATCCTTGTAGTAACCAACTGGTGTGTTCAGGTGCAGGAAAGTGTTTTTAAAAGAAAAAATGGGGGATTACAGTTTTATTTTTGTACTTCCAATCAATTTGTAAGAGCAGTGTGAGGGTTTTCTTTAAAATTAATTTCAGACAATATGCAAGTGTGGTGTGAACTTGTTGAAATTCAACAAGGGCAAGTGTAGAGTCTTGCATTTGGAGAAGAACAACCCCATGTACCAGTACAGGTTGGGGGCTGACCTGCTGGAGAGCAGTGTAGGAGAAAGGGACCTGGGGGTCCTGGTGGACAGGAGGATGACCATGAGCCAGCAATGTGCCCTTGTGGCCAAGAAGGCCAGTGGCATCCTGGGGTGTGTTAGAAAGGGTGTGGTTAATAGGTCAAGGGAGGTTCTCCTCCCCCTCTATTCTGCCTTGGTGAGGCCACATCTGGAGTATTGTGTCCAGTTCTAGGCCCCTCAGTTCAAGAAGGAAAGGGAACTGCTTGAAAGTCCCCAGCACAGATCCACAAAGATGATGAAGAGGGTGGAACCATGTCCCTGATGAGGAAAGGCTGAGGGAGGTGGGTCTCTTGATCTTGGAGGAGACTGAGGGGCAACCTCATCAATGTTTACAAATATGTTAAGGGTGA